TTTTACTACTGTTTCTATTGAGTTTCATCTCTAGCCTACCTCAACTTGTTTGGGACTAAAAGGCTTTGTTGTTGTTGTTGTAAAGTATCCTAGGTCAGATGGGTTGTGTTGTTGTTGGGAATGGTAGGAAGGTAGACGGACCAGTTAATGCCATGTGCTTCCACATAAAATACTAACCTTGATCCGTAATTCCGTATATAGCTTCTCTTACTGTAATACAGTGCATTGGTTTTTTACACGTGACGTAACTGCGCAATCATATTTAGATGGAATGCATATGAATTCACAACTGTACATACTGACAGATCATTTCTGGCAGTTATTTGGACTTGGTGTTGCAAATATCGCTGGTTCTTTCTTTTCTGTGTACCCCACGACTGGTGAGTTTCTTTCCCAACTAGTAAGTGAACTTTTGGGGCTGATCAAGTAACTAATGCATGTATATCAACCCGAAGTGTGCATAAGCTATGTACATATTACTGTAGGCTCTAAACTTTTATTTAATTATCTATCATGCAGGATCATTTTCTAGATCAGCCGTGAATCATGAAAGTGGAGCCAAAACTGGATTATCCGGAATAGTTATGGGCGTTATTATGGGCTGTGCGCTACAATTCATGACCCCATTGTTTGAGCAAATACCCCAGGTTGATTGCTTTACTTTTAGCATTCAATTCTATGTATGGTTAGGCGTCAGGTAAATTATATGCTAGACACTAGTTCACTTATCCTTTTTTATCACGAGATTAGAAACACTGTACCCATTACACCATTTGGGTTCTTTCACAGACCATTTCTCAAAGTTTCGACTCGATGGAATTTTAAATGTTTGAAGGTTGTTAAGCAATCTTTATGGCGGGGTGCCTAGAGCCACAAAGAAAATAAACTTGGAAATATATTAGATATTTAAGCATCTAGAGTTTCTATCTTCGCTTTAAAGATATTTTTACTTAATCTTGTTTTCTGTCAATCATGTCTCTTTGCAGTGTGTTCTTGCTGCAATTGTGATTTCTGCTGTTATTGGACTGGTGAGTGGTACTGTGTTTCTAAACAGGGGTACTTTTGCTTCTCTATTTCTCTCTTTTACTTTTCTGCTTAATATTTCAACTTACCTCGTATATGGCAAGGATTTTGAATTTATTGGACATTCATTTGTGCAAAGTGAACTATCAGAAAACTTGATCTCATGAAGGTTTGAAGTTTGAGTGACGTTATTGATCAACTTCCCTGTTAAAAATAGAGTGAGCCTGCTCGCTCTCCTATTAAATTTAGCGCATTAAGCTTGTGGAATCTTTCAGTTTGCTTGGGCTAGTATAACATGCCCTGATAGTTTTCTAGTTTATTTACGAATGAAACCATAAGTGAAACAATACACTATCTATGCCCCGCCTCCTGTGAAAAATGATATTTGAGTTAGATGATATGATAACGTAATTTGGAACGTAAATGGAAAAATTCTCCATGGATCTTCATAAAGAACCTTAGCTGATTAGTAGGAAAGAACAGCTTATTTGGCTATTGATTTGTTATCATTATGTTCACCAAGGTGTAAACTTATTACTTAATCAATTACATCGTAATGACAAAGTTAGTTACATTTCATGCATATTCCAAAAAAATCAAGTTAAGAGTGATGGGTAAGTTTAAAATAGTTGACTGCTGATTTAACATCATCTTCGTTGCTTTAACACATTCCAATATTGGTTAATTATGGTATTAAACTAGTCAGCTTCGTCATGAATCCAAAATTTATGGCAAAGCATAATTTTCATCAGCAATCGCATTATTCACTGTGCATACACTTCTTTTTCTTTTTCAGATTAGGACTGTGAATTCATGGATTGATTTCATCCTTGTTTCAGGTGGATTATGATGAAGCTACTTTTTTATGGCGTGTGGATAGAAGAGATTTTCTCCTCTGGATCATTACTTGCATGGTTACCTTATTCCTTGGCATTGAGATTGGTGTCCTTGTTGGTGTAAGTATGAATATTTACTTATGATACTCTCAAGAATTGAACGGCAATTGTTGGCTCATACTTCAACTATTTTGATTATTATGAACTTTGATTGTAGCCTATGTATCATCCTCAGTAGGATTTCTTACTTCTACTAGTACTATTGTCTTCATTTGAACGTGAAACCTATTATTACTCGATGCTCAATTCTTCAGTAGTTCTGGCTATATTTCCTTTTGCTTTCAATTGTCAAGCCTATAAGTTTTTGAAGCATTATAAATCTTATCCTACTACTTGCAATGTGATCCTTCTAACTCAGTCTCATTGGTAATAATTAGGTTGGTGTTTCACTTGCTTTTGTCATCCATGAATCAGCTAATCCACACATTGGTACGTCACACTCTAATTTTATCAGCTACTGTGGAAACTGTCCAAATATAATCTTTTTTATGCCATCTATGAGCTACATATAATCTATTTTGCAGCAATCTTGGGTCGTCTGCCTGGCACGACTGTGTATAGAAACATCCAGCAGTATCCAGAAACATATACATACAATGGAATAGTGATTGTTCGGATTGATGCGCCAATATATTTTGCGAATATAAGTTACATCAAAGACAGGTGAAGAATTATTCATTTGATTTAGTTGCAGAAATATTATTTCCTTTAAAAAATGCTGTTACTCGACACTTTTTTCTGTCTAGGCTCCGTGAATACGAAATTGAACCTGATGGATCTTTCAAACGTGGACCTGGAGTTACGAGAGTTCATTTTGTCATTATCGAGATGGCTCGTGAGTGCCATGCTGGAACTTCTATTTAATTTATTTATTAATGAACCAGAGTTAGTCGTGCAAAAGTCAAATTCTGAAACTTTTGAACTTGTCAATGAATCTAAGAAACTACATTATGCTTCCAAATCACCCCGGAACAGTACTCATGCATTGGTCTTAACTCTTATCTTTCAGCCATCACTTACATAGACTCCAGTGCAGTTCAAGCTTTGAAAGACTTGCATCAAGAATACAAGTCAAGGAACATTCAGGTACATAAAAAAAAGAAAAGAAAATAAAACTAAGCAGTAAAACCTCGTTTGTTTGTTGTACATGATCGATGAGATTGATTTCCCTTGAGGTTGTTATTATTATTATTATTATTATTATTATTATTATTATTATTATTATTATTATTATTATTATTATTTGAAATTCCAGATTGCCATTTCCAATCCCAACCGAGACGTTCTTCTGACCCTAACAAAATCTGGGGTGGTCAACCTGATAGGCAGGGAATGGTATTTTGTTCGAGTACATGATGCAGTTCAAGTTTGCCTTCAACGTGTTCAGGCTTTAAACGGGTCTCCTAGTTCACAATTTTCACTGCTGGAAAGTACACCGGGCCTCACCCAAAGACCACCGAGACACAAAGTAGAGGATTCTCTCTCCCTGTTGGAGTCGGGTAACTTCATGTCTAAAGATGACATCAGCAGTAGCCATCTCGAACCACTACTGTCGAAGGACACATTAGGAAAGTGAGGCTGTCTGGTTGGGTGCCTCTGTTGTCTGAAATGTGTCTATATTGTTGGTAACATTGTTTGTCTATTCTTTTGCCCCGACACGTGAGCAATATGCTGCTGTATGTGTGCGCTCATGTCTTCATAAAAGTGTGTATGTATGGTGTTGATTTTCAATTGTTTTACTGCCCTCTTTTTGGTGAGGAGATGTGATTAGTCAGTCCCCAATACATTCGTGTTGACATTATATCAAGAATCATAGTTTCGTTTCAGATTATAATTAATTTGTCGTAAGTAATGTTTCATTGTTTGGGACGAGGTGCTCCCTACACACGCACGCTCTGTTTGGTTCGGGAATTTGAGAATTTATTGTGGGGAAAAATTTGTAAGTACAAACTTTTAACATTGACAAGTTGTCTTCCAAAAACACAAAATTGATAATTTGTATCATGCATATTTGAACAATAGAATGACACAAAAAGTTTATAACTCAAATAACAATAATTTGAATCGAATTTGGAATTATTTATGGCTTTCGAAGCTCATGGGAGAAGAACAACACGAGAATGATTTATCGATTTTTTATAATTGATTTATCTTTAATCGATCAACGAAGAAAGTAGACAGCCCTGCGTGGATATAAAAGTTTCGATTTTATTTTTTGAAAATCAAGATATTTGATTCTTGATTGGGATACATTAAATAGTGTACAAGATGAGTTTTTTCAATTGTCGAATTTTGGTCAGTTGTCCAAGAATTTGCCACATATCTAGCTGTTTTTCTACTGTACTTACCTTGTTCGAATTGTCGATTTTCACAAGATCTATATCGTTTATAAGCTTTTCAGCGACGCATTCCAATCAAAAATTAATTTTCTTGATCATAAAAATTAATTTTCTTGATTAAAAGAATCCTTCTGGTTTTATATTGATATGAGATAATGCACCAGCATTGATATGAGATAATGCACCAGGTCGACTGGACTCGGGAAGTAGCAGAACCTAACCAAGTGAATTGTCAGGTCAACAGAGATTGAAGACTGCACAAGTCGAAGGATCCCCAAGTCGAAGAGGACTTTGAGGATACATGGAGTACCGACAGATCCAATTTGAACCCTCGGATGGCCTGATTAAAGTTCGACCTGAAGGTACAACTGGTCGAAGGATCGACCAGACAAGCCGAACATCAGAGCTCGATGTCAAGTCGAACATCAGAGCTCGATGTCAGTGGTACTCTACTTCGAGGTAATCAGGGTTGGTCGTTATACGGTTAGACCGTCTAATAAGGAAACTTCCCATGTGGATAGGGCTACTTGGCCTAACAATATTGAGCAGTTCGGGCAGTACGAATGGCAGTATGAGCAGCCAACTCAGGCAGGCTTGGACCAGAAGTTATAATCTCCCTATAAAAAGGAGTGAGATATGACCACCATTACATTATATTCTCTATTACCCTACATACATACAACATTTCATTTTTTTCACATTGCTAATTTAAGAATCAGAGGTTCTTGACCGAAAAAACCCATCCAATGTGAGAGTTTTTGCAGGTCCAAGGCGTTCAACCGGCGATGAGCTCGAAGTCAGGCCGAATCCAGCCGGTCAGAGGTCTTTTGTGTGTCATACTTTATTCTCATTTTTCATATATTCAGTGTCAGCTATTTTGTCCATTTTCTTTCATTCCACAAATCTCTATATCATGGTCAACATTTTATTAAACAAAGTCAACATTTTATTAAACAAAATGTCATCCTCTTCCATATCATACTTAGTATCATTGAATATCTTACTCAGATCATTGGATCCATCAACATCTGAGTCATTCAATTCAGGTTCAGGATCTTTCATTTGGTTTGGCCAGGTTCATCAGAGCATCTCCAATGGTAAGTTTTCCATTGTGAGTTGCATAGCATGAAGAAAAGAGATTAAAAAATTATGTCTCCAATGGATTATGTTTAAGATAACTTATTATGACATGTGTAAATTTATAATTAGTTGAAAAAAATTAAAAAAAAAATAAATATGTAATATAATATATAATAGAAGTTGTCTAGAAGTACTTCTACATCTAGAAAGACTTCTAGAATTTTTTTAGGCCACATAAAATTTTTTGTGCCATGTGGCAACAAGATAGGACAATCCAAAGACCATTGGAGATGCTCTCGTCAAGAATAATTGATGTACGTCATTAAACTTAATCTTTACAGAAACACAGTTAACTAATCCAATTTATTATAGAAACAAAAATTTATACACGCATAAAATATTAATTGATTATAGAAACACAATTTATAGAAACACAATTAATTAATTTATAGAAACAATTTACAGAAATGAATCTCCCAAATATATTATTATATTATTTAATTAGTTGATTAATTGATTAAGCTTAATATTTTTTTTAAGCGCATAAAAGAAAAAAAAATGCGATATTTTATTTTAAACAACAATTAGAACTCAATAATTCAAGCGTGTAAATATTACTTAATCCAAACGAATGAGAGACGTAATATCACGATAACAAATATAATAACACTAAAATTCATAATTCAACGACATGGAATGACAATAAAACATAATAAAATTAATAAAACAATAAATATATTAGAAATAATAACCTTCAAGGACATGGAAGAACAATGAATTCATAATATAAATATATTAGAAATAATTTTGATATTACTAATGAAAATATTTAACTGTTCATCATGAAACAATATATGGAATGCGTTCCAGCTCTCCTGTTCGTCGTTTCAATTATTCAGACTGCTTTCAATCGCAAATAAGGTTTGTTTGTCCTACTCACGGAATCGAGTGTATCCCATACCGGCGGCATTATATTATCGATGTATTCTAAAATTTATCTATATAATTTTTTTTTTCTCTCAACGTTGTGAATGAAGTGAAGAAATAATCGTGGTAGTGAATATCCTTTTATACAAATTGTTGTTTAGCACGTTGGTACCGAAAAAAGTGATTGATGAAAATTATTTAAATGGAAAGATATTGTAAGATTTTATCATATAAATGATTTATATGGAGCCTTGAAAGAGAAGATTTATTATATGAAGAATTTAAAAGAGGAGATTTATTCCATAGTATATGCAATTAATGCTTGTTGTTTTGTTAATAGAGCCACAAAAAATCGAAAATCTTGGCGTGAAAAAATGATTATTCCATAAACAATTAATGTTAATCCGAAATAAATAAGAGCAATTTTAGGAAATTATGTGCAATTAATGCTCGTTGTTTTGTTAATGGAGCCACAAAATGATTTGTTTCATAAATAAAAATCAGAAATAATGGCGTAAATGATTTATTTCATAAAAAAATTTATTCCATAAAAAAAATAATGTTAATCGGAAATAATTAAGAGCAATTTTAAGAAATTATGTTAATTTACTATTTTTAGGCTATAATTAATGTATTTGGCGGGAAATAGTTTCTAAAATTGAATTAAGTTAATCCTTATTATATATTAATAGACTAGATTATATATTAATAGATATGTAACTTTCAGTTACATGATTTATTTTTACATGTTCGATTTGAATGGTGTCCACTTCTGTAACGTCTTTTTATGTCCTAAAATATAAAATATTTGTGTTTTTATTTTGATACACTATATATTTTGGATTTTATAAATGCATAGTTCACAACTAATTAAGAATAACTATAAATATCTCTATTTTCTATTACAGTCATACAATGAAAAAAATATTTTTCTGGATTACAAAGATACATCAAATATGTTGAAAAATCATATCCATTGCTCCTGAAAAATGGTCCTGCATTATATTTAAAAAATTTAATATTATATGCATAAATATAATTTATAATATCTATGTTTAAAATTTAATATCATTATTTAACTTATAATTTTAATATTATATGCATATAATTAACTTATAATATTTTATTTATATATATGTGCAAAATTAGAGTATACTAGTTAGAGTATCAAAAATACTAGTTAGAGCATATAATTAACTTTTATGCATTATCGAATACTAGTTCGAGTATCAAAATAAAAAAAAAAAAAAAAAAAAAAAAAAAAAAAAAAAAAAAAAGGTACAAAAAGAGTATCAGAACAATATTTTTTTCCATATTATTATTTTACATCAATTATGATATATTTTTTTTATGAGCACGAACCATAATCAAAATAATTTAAATTTACCAAGAGCGTTTGGATGAGATGACTTGGGTCTCTTCCAGCTTAACCAGTGGTTTCGAGTTCGAACCCTGGGAATGCAGCAGTGCTAAAACTCTTGGCTAAAGTACACTACGACGACACTTGGACAACGAAATAAAAAATAGAAGACCTCTCCAAAACTCTATGACTTCACTTCGCTTCGCTTCGTTCGTTGGGTTGAAACACAGCTATCATCGAGAGCCTTCGTCTCCGTTACTGATGCCGCGGCCCTGAGGAAGTGAGTCCTACGAACCGGGGGAGCGCGTGTTCGTGCGCGGGTAGCAAGTTTTCCATTCTCATATAAGATCTCCAAGTAGATTGGCAACAGGTCGGCACAAAGTGATTCATCATGCTCAAAGATGAGCCGATCGTTCGTTAGGGGCGGTAAGTCCTGGTTGAGTCAGCAGCTAGTTTTGCCGGAATAGGAATAAACGATGCAATTGAATCTGTTGGAGGAAGGTAGAGCAATAGACGGAATGAGTCTTAGTTTCAATATCCCCTGCTCTTGTTGAGTCGACTGTTCATGGCATGGTTTGGTGGGACCAAGAATTGCTCTTGTTCCCGGACCAGGAAGTTTTTGCTGCCGGGAATACACACTCTCTTTCTCTTTGAAGGAATCCGCATGGAAGGCTCTCGACTGGGTCATGGCATTGCTCTGGAGTGGAGCCGGGGAAGGAGCGAAGTGAAGAGATTTTTTTTCTCTTTGGCTCGCCCCTTTAGTAGTTCTTTTAGGCTTGACAGAAGATCGCTCCAGCTCTAAATTCGAATTGGTTCCTGGTCCTGGTCAGAGACCACTGTGTTCGCGCCGGCGGTACTGGAGGGAGGAGTATGAGTTCATGCATTAAGCGCTTAGGCCTTATCCCTGTTGCCACCTCTAACACTACCACACCAAAGCTGTAAACATCTGTCTTCATAAATTCTGTCCTTACTGCTCTTCCAAGTTACTTGATGCAAACCACATTCTTGCCTGAACATACTGTTAAGCAACTTGATAAATTAATTAGAGGATTTTTGTGGCTGTTGCAAACAATCCCATCTGTCTATTAGTTCAAGCTCCATCTGAGCATTTTCATGTCTTTAGTATAGTCGGAGCAAGGACGAGTTGGACTATCTGGGCTTCTTGTCTTTTTCTCCTGAACCTCTCTACGAGATAAAGTTTTCAATCCCAAATTAATCCACATAAATATGTTTTCTGCCCCCTAGCTAATACGATAGTTAAAATAAAAAAAGGCATGCGATAGTTAAAGTAAAAAAAAAAGCAACTAACTAAAGTAATTTAATTCTGCCACAAATCAATATAACTGATATTTTTGCCCAATTTAATAAACAAAAAATTACCAAATAGAAATGGACGGATCTCTTAGGATGGCCTGAGAAAAACCATATGTTGATTTTATAAAGAAAAAATGTTTAATCATAATACAGAAGTAGAAAATCTAGTAAAATTGTGTTAATATTTCATTCATGTAAATACAGGATGCAAAATATTGTTTGCCTTTGTTTGTATATATTTGTCTATTGTTGGTTTTTTAAACCAGATTTTCTACTACAACTTTATATCTAATTTATTTTAATTTATTATTAGTTTATCTTATAAACCAGATTTTCTACTATAAATTATATTTAGTTTATTTTTAGTTTATTATAAATATATAAACCATTACAAGAATAAAAACTGTGAATTTAAATTTGTATATAGTTTATTTTCAGTTTATTATACAAGAAAAAATTATATATAGTATATTTTTAGTTTATTATAATTATAAAATTAATAAGTATGTTATATAGTATATTTTTAGTTTATTATAATTATAAAACTAATAAGTATGTTTTTTATTTTATTATGGTTATAAAATTACAATAATACAAATTGTAAATTTAAGTTTACATATGGTTTATTTTCAGTTTATTATACAAGAAAAATTTATATATAGTATATTTTGGTTTATTATAATTATAAAACTGATACTCTTTTACATACAAAAAACGAAACATTCACTCACAAAATTAATGAACAACTAAAATTTAAAATACAACATCAAAACAAAAAAAAAAAAAAAAAAAAAAAAAAAAAAAAAAA